AAATGTTCTTCTCTGTATTTCTTGACTGTATTCCACTAATTTAGAGATGTTATGCTTTATCATTTAGTTCAACATATTTTTCAATTTCTCCTTTGACCTCTTATTTGCTTTTCCTTGACTGAGAGGAAATCATTTAAGAGTGGAAACACATTTAGGGAAGCAGTGGTGGGGGACAGATGAAGTTTGGAACAGAATTTTTCTATTTACATTTCCCATTTCCATTGTCAAAGAGGTAATGAATGAAGGAAGTGTTGAAGAAAAATAGCTGGAGACGTTGTTGACTGGCTATATGCTAAAGGTTGATCATAAACAGGAGGAAATCTCATAGTATAATGCTAAGGTTGTTCAAGCAGGAGGAGGAGGTTTTGTTGGTTTTTGAGCTTGCCAAAGGGTTTGGACAGTCTAGGTCAGACCGACATCTGGAGGCAGCGTAGGTAAAAGAAAGTTGAGGAAATTACAGACCAGAGAGAAAAGCCCAGGATATGTCAGCAATAACACAGTAGCAGCTGACTCCGAGAGATAAGGTACTTTGTTTGCTTTGCTTTGAAGTGAAGTGAAGTGAAAGTCACTCAGTTGTGTCCTACTCTTTGCGACCCTACTGTTTGGAATTCTCCAGGCCAGAATACTGGAGTGGGTAGCCATGCCCTCCTCCAGGGGATCTTCTTAACCCAGGGATCGAACCTATGTCTCCCACCTTGCAGATGGATTCTTTACCAGATGCATTTATGAATCCAGTAGTCAACAGACACATGAATTACTGGCCCTGTGATTTTAGCGATGAGTTAATTTTTTAAAGACACACTTATACAGATGAATTGTGAATGTTAGCTCTTGGGTGGTCTGTTTCCTTGGATGATAGTGCTGTTCTGTTTTTATCCATCTTTAGCGTACCACCCGAGGCAGTGATAACTGAGCCATCCCGGGCTTGATTCCTAGAAGGGAATGGCTGGTCTCTGTGAGGCTGTCCCGGTATCTCTAGATTGAAGAAAGATGTGGATTAACCAGAAAAATAGGAACGCATGTAGGAATCAGTCAAAATATCTTTAGGTAAAACAGTTGAAGACATTTAGTCTATTGTTTTCAAAACTATAAGCCAGACAAGTAGGCTCTCTGCCGTGTGACAAAAACAGAAGAAAGAAATTCACCAAGTTACAAAAGAACATGCTTGACTGGGAATCCTGCTGCATCACGTTCCACTTGTGTGATCTTAAGCACAGCCTCTTTGAAGATGTTCTGTAGCGCAGTGTCCTTATCTGGAAAACAGTGGGGACGATCCCCGCCTTCTTCCCTCATAATGTTGTGAAAGAGAAATGCAAAAAGATTTCCATAAGTGTCTTTTTGAATAAAGTACTATATGAAAGTCAGTTATTATTAGTGTGCTGTTTTCATTTTTAAAGCTTAGCTTCTGGATTCACTTGACTGTTAGGGGAGGGTCTTAGAAATGATATTTGGTGATACAACACAGAAGTGGGAGGTGTGGCATGCAGGGGAGAGCACAGCTCTGGGGCGGACAGCCTGGGGTTTGAATCTCAGTGATTCCACGTCCATCTTGAGCAAGTTAACATCTCTATGACTTAGCTTTTTGTTTTCAGTCTGTAAAACAGGGATTAACAATAGTTCTCACAACTTCTGACAGTTCAGCTAATAAAGATGAATGAGCTGGGAGCATTTGAATTATTGCTTAAAATTTTAATGCACTCAGTGTCCCAAGAGGATGATCAATAAAGTTGAATTAATTATTTTTGGAGAAATACAACTGTGGACATCCCTTTTTCTGTGATTCTGTCGTCCTAGATCCGATGAGATTATTACGCAATGAATTGGAAGCAAAGGAGCTTATTGAGTGCATTTTGCATGTTAATTTTGCTTTAATGCCTTTGGTATAGATTTTCAAACACACACACATGCGTGTGTGCGCCCAGTCATGTCTGACTCTGCAACCCCACGGACTAACCCTCCAGACTCCTCTGTGCATGGCTGGGGAACTGTAACCCACCAACCTACTTCCTGAAAGAATTGTTAGTGAATGTTACACACAATAATAATGAAACCTTAAGATGAGTGACCTCAATGCAAAGGGAGAGACAGTTATAGAGTCAAGAAAAGAACAAGCATGCTTGAAAATTCCCATAAATATATTGCTAATAGGAAAAAAACTATAAATTTATAAATGTGAAAACAAGCTTCTCAGGACCACTTGTTTTTCCTTTATATTAAGTACCTTCATTTCAGGAAATATATTTTTGATAGTAAAAAGACTGCCTAGTAAATGGCTTTTCAACATCTAAAATGTATTTTTCCTCTTGTTGCCTCTTCATGGCTCAGATATCCCTGAGGTATTTAGTGCGGGCTAAAATTTACATCATCAACTTTTGTGAATATGGAAGAAGAAAATGTACATAATGAATTGAATAATTCATATTTAAAGTCCTTTCCAACTTTAAAATATATGTGTGTATATATATATTTCATGTAAAAATGTCTCATAGGTTTATCAAGATTTTCTGAAAAGAACCTGAAGCATTGAATCTAATATATATATCAGAATATTATATATTGAATCTAATATATGTATTAGATTCAATGCTTCCAGTTCTTTTCAGAAAAAAAAATATATTAGTTTAGGTTAGAAAAATTATTAGCTATGACTCCATCCCATTTTATTGTTCAATAAGACTTCACAGATATAACAAATATGCTCAGATGATGAAGAGCCTTTAAAGTATTACTATGACCACATGACAATTATTTTATATCTGTTTAATTTTTTCTTTCACAAGTAGGAAATATCTATGAAGAAGGTTTAAACAGAGAGTATGCATAAGAGACTTTGGTGTCTAATCCTTCCCTCTTGAAATTTATGTTTTAAAAACATGTTCTTAAGTGGACTAACAGGTTTTCCAACTATATTTTCCTCTCTTGGATCAGTTCAGTAGAGAGAATTAATGAAGCAGGACTATTTTAGAGAAATAAAAAATAAAAACCAAAAAATTATGTCTTTAAGGCAGTATACTTAAATTATGCTGAATTTAGGGTAATAATCATGCAGTCAAGTTGTTTGGGACTCCTTGACCAAACATTCCATGCTGACAACCTCACCTCAATTTTCAATATTTTGAAAGATCAAGTCAGAAATAAAATACAGAAACTGCTCATGATTCCAGCTGCCCTGACTAGTTCTAGCTGTACTTGGTGAAGCAGAGCGTTATGGGTACTGGTCTCTTACTAAAGGCCACTTTCCGCTGGCGGCTTCATTATAAGAAATGACTGGACATCCTAGTGGACACAGCTTGGAAGAGGGGAATTCACAAATAACTATCTTAGTTTTGTAAGGGCATGCAGAGTCAGTTAGAAAAATTTAACCTTCATTATGCCATTAAAAAAATAAGAACATAGTGAAAATCATCAATGTCTAATGAGGTATAATCCACTAAGATTAATGGAAGACCAACAAAGCCTTAGGTGGAATTACATGAGCAGAGAAATCACCTGCTTTGATTAAAAAGAACAGAGAGAGGACAAAATAAAAAGAGGTCTCTGAATTCCAAAATACTACTGGCAGGAAACAGGGTCAGAAAGTCACTTAGAAGTTAGCATGTGCTACCTTTCATGAAAAAAGAAAGGAAGGTCCAGAAGATGACACCAAGAGTCCAGAGAACAGAGCTGAGAGCCACAGAGTTATTCTCAGATCTTGAGGCTTAATCCAGGACTTTCCAACACTTGTCTGGATTTCCTAATCCCTGTAGAAGCATGCTTCTAGCCTTCCGGTATTCAAGCGTACGGGTGTGTGTGCTAAGTTGCTTCAGTTGTGTCTGACTCTTTGCAAATCTAGGGACTGTAGCCCACCAGGCTCCTCTATCCATGGGATTCTCCAGGCAAGAATACTGGAGTGGTTTGTCATGCCCTCCTCCAGGGGATCTTTCCTACCCAGGGATAGAACCTGTATCTCTTATGTCTCCTGCAGTGGCAGACATTTTTTTTTTTTAAACCACCACTGCCTGTTATTCATCCCTTTGTGTAATTCCCTCTGACACTGTACAAGGATAATTGATCTGTATGACCAATACCATACAGTAGAAGTGATGGAGTGTCACTTCCAGGATTAGGTTATAAAGGGCTGTGGCTTCCATCCTGAGTTCCCTCTCTCTCTCATCATTTATTTTCAGTCAATATGTTGATATTTGCCTGTATGGTACCTTCTCAGAACATCTGGAGGAACGTTTTGATAGGATTACTATATATTACAGTTTTCAAGGGAGAGTTCTGGGTTATGCCTGTTGTCCTAAAATAATTAAAATCTCCCCTTGACTTCAAAATGTCCCAGATTGAATCATAAATTATATGATCACAATTCTTATTAACATCACTAGCATCCTAAATGTCTAGCCACATATCCATTTCTGTCTTGTTAAATTGTACTATTAAAGGGTGTGTATATGAGAGCCAGACGTAGAGACAGAGACAGGGAGACAGAGAGAGAGAACAGAGAGATAGAAAGAGACAAAGAAAGCTGAGTTGTTATCTCCAAGGCATTTCTCCTTCTTTTGGTTACATCATTTACTATTCTGTCTACATTTTTGGCCAAAAAGTAACTAAGCAGACTGAGAAAATTCAGATTCCATAATAAGGTGGCTTGTTGTTCGTTGTTTAGCCGTTAAGTCTTGTCCGACTGTTTTGTAACCCCGTGAACTGTAGCCTGCCAGGCTCCTCTGTCCTTGGGATTTCCCAGGCAAGAGAACTGGAGTGGGTTTCGATTTTTTTCCTCCAGGAGATCTTCCCAACCCAGTGATCGAACCCATATCTCCTGCATTGACAAGTGGGTTCTTTACCACTGAGGCACCTGGGAAGTTCATAAGGTGGCCACTATTGGTATAATCCCCATGTTCATATTTGGAACCTAAACTTAAAACTTACCCTGGTCTTAGAAAAGTCAGGTTTACACAGATGTTCAAGTACTTTTTGGGTATCTTTTTTTTTCATTTCTGTTTTCTTTCACGCAGGATTTGAGATTTGACGGGGAAGGACTCAGTGAATACATTCCTATGTCATGTTTAAAGAGCGGCAGAACATTTGAGAAGTACGTTCCCTTAGTGGTACATTTAGTGTGTTTTATTTTCTTGTTTGTTTCTTTTGGTATGGACTAATTATGGGCTAATCATAGGTGACAGGCACCCCTTGGTTTGATTCGCCCTAAGGTTCCAGTGTGTGAGACCCATGACCCCATTTCCTCCTGGGATGTATCTGCCTTTTCGCTCATATAGGACAGTTTAGGAAGGGGACTTCCAATCTTTCAGAGGCTATCCAAATCCCTGAGCCAGTGTAGGAACTTCTAAGATTGGGACGTGGCAGTTTCTGCCCCTGGATCTCAGGTCAGGAGGTGCAGAAGTAATAGGTGCAGGTTCAGAGGTTCTCAGGGGGGATGGTCTCCTGTTGAAGTCCAAGCTTCCCCCTCTTTGACTATGTGACCTCTAACAGGATGTTGAGGGATAGAACTTTACTCAGCATCAGCTTTTCATCAGTGAAGCAAGAATAATAATACCTTGGTGGATTATTTTAAGGGTTAAATGAGATAATAAATAGAATGCATTTCAAAGAACGCTCTGAGCATGAGAAGCACTAAATAAATACTAGTTAATACTGCGGTTCACAGCAGGGATCAATTTTGCCCCTAGGGGACATTTAGCAATAACTGGAGATATTTTTGATTGTCATGACTGAACCTAAGGGGGAAGCTGTTAACAGCATCTAGTGGGCAGAGGCCAAGGATCTTGATAAACATTCCATAATGCACAGGGCAACAAAGAATTATGTGGTTCAAAATGTCAACTGCAAGGAGAGAAACCTTATTATACACCAGTGCTGTTTATTCATCGCCATTTTACTTAACTCTTAATCCTACTAGCAGTGGAAATAAGGTGTCATCTGACATCTGTCTGTGAATATTATTCAGTACTTGAAAAAAATAGGCCATATGGGCAGGATTACATATTGCTGAGGTTTCCTTCCAATACTCAATAAGGTATGGACAAGCATACCTACTACATGCTTCACTTCTAGTGATAGGACTTAATCCCAAAATAGCCGGGGACGTTGGCACCACATTATTTGCAAGAGAAAATTAATTATAGGCTAACTTATGGTCATGAAAATTTGAACTAACTATCCAACAACAAGGGATTATTTAAATAAATTATGGTAGACACTTAAAATTAAATACTAAGTCATTGCTAAAAATTTGTACTTAAAAAAATTAATCTCCTGGAAAGTATGTATAATGCACAAAGTGAGAAATACACGTTACAAAGTATTTACAGCATCAGCCTCATTTTGTAAAAGAAAAAACAGTGAGTCTCGCTACCTCGCTGTGAAGAATTCTCATGCTCAGCAGGCCAGTCGTGTCCGACTTTTCGCGACCCTACGGACTGCAGCCCGCCAAGCTCATCTGTCCGTGCGATTTCCCTTCTCCAATCCAGGGATGGAACCCACGTCTCCTGCATTGGCAGGCGGGCTCTTTCCCACTGAGCTACCAGGGAAGCCCTGGCTGTGAAGAATAGACCTCAATATTTCACCAGTGTTTATCTTTGGGCGGAGGGCTACTGAGCGACTTTGATGGGGGTGTTTTTATAAAATTAGATTTTATATAGTGCACAGACTAAAATTGATAATAGCTGTATACCGGAGAAAAAAGAACACTGTGTTACAAGTGCTGACTCAAAGGTAAGGTGATGTGTGGCTCCTGGTCTAGAGTGTGATGACTCCAAGGGACCACAAACCACTAGACTTATCTCTAGGTAGCTGGCATCCTCTTGAAGCTGTTTATTAACCTTTTGATGTGTGTCGCAATCCTTTTTGACTAAGGAAGGTATTTTTAGAAACCCTTTAATTACAAAGAACTCAAATTACAACAGAGAACCCTGCTTTCTTACCCCCCCCTTAGGATGATTATCATGAATTCAGTATATAATTATTTAGATTAAGTTTTTAGGATATTGCACGAGGGCTTTACATTTTTTTGCCACAGGAACAAAGAAAGAAACTGAGGAACACATCTCACTGTGGTTTACATAACATGTCTGATGTTTACTAATGAAATCGGTTTACCTTCATAACTGTATAATAGGGCCATTACAGACAATAGATACAGTAGTTTAAAAGTAATAAAATTTACAACAAAGTGTATTTAATTTGAAATTGAATTGCCAGCAAATGGGTGTCCTAATGAACTCTTGTGTCAATGTGGCTCTAACTAAATTAAGGGGAATCATTTCTATCCCAAGAAACTAAATCAGCTATGAGATCCGAAAAGGCCATTCCTCTGGTGGAGGGGCTGTCATTGTCACAGATGGCCCTGCTGATGGAATTAAGCTTAAGTCAGGAGAAGTGAAATGCAAGATCCTTCTTAATTCAAATGAATTCAGAAATGCTGGCTGTTAGGACTCATGAAGATCAGGAAAAAAAAAAAAAAAAAGAAGGAACAAAAAAGAGGGATAAAGAAGAACCTCAAATCAAGCCAGTGAATGTTAATAGGAGGAAAAAGCTTGGGGAACATTTTGAAGCTAGACATAGATCTTGAAGACTTCCCAGGTGGCACAATGGTAAAGATACCGTCTGGCAATGCAGGAGACATAAGAGATGTAGATTCAATCACTGGGTCTGGAAAATACCCTGGAGAAGAAAATGGCAACCCACGCCAGTATTCTTGCCCGAAGAATCCCCTGGACAGAGGAGCCCGGTGGACAACAGTCCATGGGGTCACAAAGAGTGGGACATAACTGAAGTGACTTAGCATGCATGGGGAGATTTTGATCTCTGGACGTTGTATTAAAAAAAAAAGATTATGTCATATCAGCTATTCATGTATTTAAATAATTCTTCCCCAGGGTTTCTCCAACAATTCCTAAGATTGAAGGGGTGGTGATAGAAAAGAAGGTAGTAACAGATTTTATCGAGCATTGGATCTGGTACTTTCCAGAACAAGTCATATTTTAATTGTTGGAAGATTTTTAGCTCATATGTTGTTGTTTGGTTGCTAAGTTGTGTCCGACTCTTTGTGACACTGTGGACTGTCCATGGGATTTCCCAGGCAAGAATATTGGAGTGGGTTGACATTTCTACCCCAGGGTATCTTCCTGGCCCAGGAATGGAACTCTTGCATGCGTGCATGCTAAATTGCCTCAATCGTGTCCCACTCTGTGTGACCCTATGGACTGTACCCTGCCAAGCTCCCCCATCCAGGAGATTCTCCAGGCAAGAGTACTGGAGTGGGTTGCCTCGCCCTACTCTTATATAGAGAGTCACATATTTTATAGGGTCTCATTTCAAAAATGTCTCACCTCCCTACTTGAATCCACTGTAACCTGGTGTTTCTCTGACTCTTGTCATTCCGTGTGCAATGGACACGACAGATTGTGTGTCGTATCAAAGGTGAACTTTTCCATTATCCCCCATCATCAGTTTCTCTTCTTTTCATCGCCCCTCTTACTAAACCTGCTACAGAGCTATGAGTCAGCGAGTAATTGCAGATCCAAATGTTTGTGAAGCAGGCGGCATAGCCAAGCTCGGTACCCTCCCGGAAGTAACCCACCCATCAAAGGGAGCAGCGTGGCCTTGGCCCCGCTGGAAGGTGAGTTTCCGGAGCCTTTTTCCCTCTGGTGTAAAGAAGTTAACTCTAAGGTCAATTTCATTGACTCACTTTCTTGTTGTGCCTTTCCTCTTGCAGGGCCCACCCTTTAGAGAAACAGAGTTCTAGCAGGTCTTAAAAAAATTAATTAATTCCTTTGGCTTTTTGGCCCAGCCCCATGGCATGAGGGATCCTAGCTCTTTGACCCGGGCTTGAACCCACATCCCTGCAGTAGAAGCGTGAGGTCTTAACCACTGGACCTCCAGGGACGTCCCTAGCAAGTCTTAATAACTTATTTTGAGGAGGGTTCTATGTGGAAATAGAGATGCTAAAAGGTTCCGTCACGAAGCCACTGGAATTCCTCTAAACGGGGTCCGTGGAGCCAGGCTGGGTTCTCCCTAGACAATGAGGCTGACTCGCCACCGTGCGAATGAGACAAGGCTTGACATTTGATGAATTTTCCATCTCCTCTCTCTCCTCTGCTGACACTCGCTCTGAGGAAGGTTGTAAATGCAAGAGAGATTGTGGTATAATTCCTCAGACTGGCATTTCTGCCCCCTAGTCACCATTCGATTATCTTCCAAATTGCTGTGTTTCAGAGAGATAAAGATTTTTTATGGCTTGCTGACTTGAAACAACCACGAGAGCCAGCTAAAGATGGCTAAGCGGCCATGCATAGTAATTCCATTGGTAAATGACAAAATCTTTGTTTGTATGACATTTCCAAAATTACTACAGAAGATGAATCTGAAATAGAAAATGTCACATTTGGCATGCAAAACTATCACAATATATTTCAGTATAAAATTCATAGAGGCGTTTAATTTAGAATGTGTTTAATAACTCAGTCTGCCTGCATCAGTAATCCTGCCTTGAGGTTTAAAGAGATTGTCTTATTTATTCACACGGTGTTAATTTTGAAAATATTTTTGGCAACCAAAATGCTAAGGTTAAGTCTTTATTGTTAATTAAGATTTTATAATTAAACCAAAAAATAATTGTTATTCTGATTAGTGTTTAAGTCTGACTTGTATGAAAAGAGCAGAAGAAGTTTAGCAACTTCCATTGTTTACTTAACTGTGATTTGATTCCAGAAGCATGCTGTCTATATGGAAATATATATTATCTCTCACAAAATAAAGTCTAGGCAGGATTAAAAAGTGCTTCACTGTTAACTGCATATTAACGGATGGTGCTACCAACATGGGTAGCCAGGAGAGTAACCTGTTTCTAAAAATGACATTAATTTTGCTTAAAGCACAATGTAATAGAGAATTCTTTAAGGTCAAATTATCCTTAAGGCTATTAGGGTGGAAAACATGACTTTATGACTTTTGAGTTATTAATAATCTCAGTTTAATTTTTGTGTAATCTGAAGCAATAGGACATTAAACAGCTTATCAGTTTGTACCAACTTTTCAGCATTTACTAAAAATGAATGGCCTTTTGGTCCCAGCTGCAGGTAAGCAATGAAATTCAAATGTGCTGTAAAATATTCTTCCATCCTTTTCTTTAGTTACATGCAGTTCATGCCAAGTTTTAGGCTGAAGCAGATAGAAATGCCCTTCTTCCTTTATTTATTTAGACTCTCAGTTGAAGCCTGTGGGGCAAGGTGACCTCATGTTGAAATTAAAGGCAAGCATTCGATCAGGTGAGGTGTTAGTCTGACCTGTTTTGCACATCACTCATCAATGGGGCCCATGATCTGTGATTAGTGGGAGAGGTAAGGGCTGTCACCGTTCAAGCTTGCTGTCCATGTTCATCCATCCCTTAAGAGGCCTGCTGTGTGGTTTTCAGAAGTGTTGGTTTCCTGTCCATTCTATCTCATTATAATAGATGAATGGTTTCTGATGTCACAGATCATTAACATACCACGCTTAAGAACTGGCTAAACTTTCCCTCGCATAATCGGTAGGCCTGCCTTTTGACCCCCTAATTACATCTCCTGTAGTCCGCCTCTGTTATCACGGCTAATACCTGACAATTACAGGTTGAGTAAAAATAATTGTCTACTTTTTCCCTCCCTGAGAAGCGCATTGTGGCTAATTGTGTGGTTTTACCCAATTCCTGCATCATTCAAGAAATTCAAGAAACCCGTCTTTTCTTTAGGTTGAGCAGAGTCGGTCACCTCAGTCTCTTCAGATACAGATGAAGTGCATCAGGGGTCTCAAGAACAAGGTGCCCCAAGGCTCCTACCTCCTCAAAGTGTCCCTACTTGGCCAACCAGGCGGCCGTGTCTTGCAGTGGTACCCGGCGGAGCAGCTGAAGACCAGAACACGCCCAGTGAGGCACGGTGGAAACTTTTATGATGTGGGACTGTTTTTCCATGAAAGCCTTTATGTGGTAAGCTGGTCCTTTTGCTCATGGATCACTATCTGTCCAAGCTTTTCACCACTAGAGATGGTTTTAGACATTCAACTTCGTGCACTAAACAGAAAGAATTTCATTCATCATTCAGCAAATACCTAATAAGCACCTGGTATGAGCCAAGCTCTGTGTTACACGCCAAGAGGTCACTAACATGTGTATTTTGTGTGTGTGCAATTGTGTGTATACCTTGGTAGGCAGCCAGGGACACTGATTGTAGGCAAGAACCCAGCTTTAGATAGGAAGAAAAGATGGAGGTTGTTCGGAAACTAGATCATGGATATAGGAGAAAGTGTTTACCAAGCAAAGGAATTCTGGAGGAGACAGTGCTGGAGGAGGAAGCTAGGGTTAAGTAAGATTAGAGAGTGATCATGGATGCAAGGATGAGAAGTGAGGGGTTCGAGATCTTTTTTTCAGGCAACAGCACCAGGCAGGCTAAGACAGGGAACTCCAGCCCACAGAGAAGAAAGGAGGAGGCTGGGTTAGTCCTCGAATCCTTATCATGTTCTGGTGCATGAGATGCTGGGCTTGAGTATAGACTGTTTGCTAATATAGAATTGCCTTTTACACCATTAATTTGGATGACCATTGTAACAATCAGTGTAGGTATCATGGGGCACCAGGGCTGACAAGATTCACTGAGGAACCAAGCCTCAGTTGACTCATCCGTGAAACAGGAGTAAAAAAATCTGCTTACCAGGGGCATTGCAAAAAATGAGGTGATTGTGGAAACACACACTGCCAATACACAGTAAGAATTCAGAAGTTTCTGTGGTTATTATCATCATTACAGTTATTCTGTTTCTCTGATGGAGAGCCCATAAATGTTTACCAGGTGACTTTCATTTCAATACATACGACACATGCTTATAAATATATATATTTAAACTTTTTATTTTATATTGGAGTATGGCTGATTAACAATGTTGTGATAGTTTCATGTACAGAGTAGACTGCCTCCGCCATACATATACATGTATCCGTTCTCCCCCAAACTCCCCTCCCATCCCGGCTGCCACGTAACATTGAGCAGAGTTCCCTGTGCTCTACAGTAGGTCCTTGTTGGTTATCCATTTTCAGTATAGCCATGCGTAAAAGTCGATTTCAACTCCCCCCTAACTAGCCCTTCCCCTCATTTTTCCTCCCTGGTGAATATAAATTTGTTCTCTAAGTATGTGAGTCTATTTCTGTGATAAACACTTCTTTTTGAACAACTTTGAATTAACCTTTGCTTGAGAACAATGTTGGTTAACACTTTTTATCTCTAATGAATGATCCCCAAAGCCTTGTTAAAATGTGTAGGGTGCAGGTGAGAGGCATTAGTCAAGGGAGGATATGGAGAAGACCTACCCCCTTGGGGAGCCCACTCCTCTATAGAACCAGATCTTGAGGACAGGTGACAAGTAGGTGGCAGGTGCAGGTCAGCCCGTGAGCTGAGATCTTGGTTCTTGCTATTTATCTCGTAACAATTTCAGGAATGTGGTGACAGCTAAGATTTTAGTTAATAATTTAAAAAAAGGGTTCAGCCAGTACCTAATGGGCAACTACATTCTTCTGGTAGATTTTAATTAAGTACCTACCCTTTTAAAGCTTGGATCTGGACTACTGAATATGTCGTTCAAAGAGCTTGCTATCTAGAGCCATCTGCGTAAGTAGATGTTTTTTTACATTTGCTTGCATGCTTAGTCACTCAGTTGTGTCCGACTCTTTGGAGTCGGACCCATGGGCTGTGGTCCGTCAGACTTCCCTGTGCATGAGATTTTCCAGGCAAAAATACTGGAGTGGGTTGCCATTTCCTTCTCCAGGGGATCTGCCCAACCCAGGGATCCAACCCGCGTCTCCGGCATCGCCTGTATTGCATTCTTTATTGCTGAGCCACCGGGGAAATCCCTAACAGAGAGTGCTGCAGATTAAATGTCAGGAGGATTTAGAAGACAAAGAGGTCCATCAAGAATGTCTTTGGGGACAAAGAGCAAAACCACAAAGAGACTGATCTTGTCAAAAAATGTGCACAACGTTGAGAAGTGCATCAGTTTCGTGGGGGAAAGCAGAAGCCGCTCATTCCTCCAATAGTGAAATGCATTTTTCCCTTCCTGCCAAACAGAACACAAAGTATCTTGGAACAGTTGAAATAACAACCCCAAATTTTCTTCCCCTGTGTCAGAAGCGAACAAACCAAAATAATTACCTCCTGCCACAGCCAAGGAAAATTTATTCTTTAACAGCCTGACAAAATGTCACTGAATTACATCCATCCCTTGGTATCACCTAGCAAAATCCTGGATCCCCAAAGAGGTCTACTAGGCTATTTCACATGCAGTGTATGTAAGAAAAGCACAAAAATTCAGGACAAAAACAGAAACAAGCAAAGCACCAATACCTCCAGAACTTGACAGGAAAGAGAAGTCATCAGAGGCTGTTTGATTTCAGAATAAAAATGCTGTTGCTCAAAGTTCTGCTCATTCCACTGGGTTCTAGCAAGTTTTTCCATGAACCACACAGTTCTGCCTGCCAGTCACTCTGCTGGCAGTTTGAGGGAGGCTGACAGTTAAGACAGCAAGGTTTAAAGGAGTGTCGTTTTTCAGGAGTAGGGACAGATAACACAAAAACACATAAATGTGTTTGTGCATATAACCAATAAAAGGGCATCTAAGACATTTACGTGATTCCTTTCCGAATACAAGCTGAAGTCAGCGTCATTTCTCCATGAACAAGAGAAACTGGCTTCATACGGTTGCTTGAGAGTTCACAACATCTTATTCATGTTAAACAGGGAAAGACGGTCATTTATTTCTATGTGGATGGGAGGGAGAGTCTTCCCTGGTGGCTTAGATGGTAAAAAGTTTGCCTGCAATGAAGGAGACCTGGGTTCAGTCCCTGTGTGGGGAAGATCCCCTGGAGAAGGGAATGGCCACCCACTCCAGTAGTCTTGCCTGGAGAATTCCATGCACAGAGGAGCCTGGTGGGCTACAATCCATAGGGTCTCAAAGAGTCAGATATGACTTAGTGACTAAACAACAACAGCAGAAGGACAGTAGTCATATGGTAGACTTTGGTAATAGTATCTGGGCCCAAAGAAAGTTTCATTAATTACTAGATAGAACTGTTATGCTTATAATTCTCATTTTCATTAGTACAGGGATGGGCCATCTTAAAAAAGGATATAAATAGTAGGTTAAAAAGCAAAACCAGCAAAATGCAGGCAAAGAACATTGATTAATGAATTTAAAACATTTTCCTAAAGGTCATGTGCTCATGTTGGGCTATGCCTCAGGCAGGTCTAACCAATATGACCAGGCCCTTTGTGTGGAGCAGGTAACCCATGCTGACTCCAAATTTGCTGACATAACAGAGTTATTATTTCTGGAAGGATGTAGCATTCTGGAGCAATTTCTGTAATGATTCCATTAAGACCATGGTTTCCTTCAATTTAAGCCTATATATTTCACTTTTCATATTACTCTACACCACAGAGGAAATAAAACGATGTCTTGGACTGAATGTTTGTGTCACCAAAGGAAAAAAATTACTTGATTTTGATGGTACTTAACCCCATTTTATTCCATAAGTACATCTGTGTTTTTTTTTTAATCACCTGTCAGTGTGAATAATGAGATTTTATGAATACTAGTTTAAAGGCAGAAAATTGACTTATATTAAATTGTGGCAATTTTGAGGATTCTTTAAGGAAGACAACAAGCTCATGACATAATTTCCTTGGATAGTATTTACAAGCATCCTCTATAGCTTCCCAAGTCATGCAAGTGGCAAAGAATCCACCTGCCAATGCAGGAGCCATGAGACTTGGGCTTGATCCCTGATGTGGGAAGATCCCCTGGAGAAGGAACCTGATTCAGTATTCTTGTCTGGAGAATCCCGTGGACAGAGGAGCCTGGCAGGCTGCAGTCTATTGGGCCGCATAGAGTTGGACACAATTTAGCAATTGAGTGTGCACAAATTACCTCACAGTCGTATAAGTTCCGTTTACCAATAATGAATACTACAAGGAAATGTTAAGATAATCTTAAGAGCCAAATCTTGGTGTTAGTAGTTTCCAAAATAGAAATAAGTCTGATTGAGAAGAAATGCATCAATTTAGAGAAAAGGATATCATTTTAACATTAATTATATATAGGGAATCTGTCACTGGTTGTGAAGAAGGAAATAAATATTATTTTGTGGTCTTATGACTTCATGTGAATTTAGCCTTATCTCCCCTCTTTAAACTACAAAAACAATATTTTAGGTAAATATTTGCAAAACAGAGAAGTGAGCTCATAAACTGACTTCCTTGAGGCGTGAGCAAACTTGACCTTGCTCGTTCTCCAGTGGAAAGGTAGATAAAAGCTGCTGACATGCCTTCTAGAAATTTCCAGAGTACTTAGTCATGCTTGGAGACCTCCCCACGTGCATCAGTTGATGTTAACAGCCAACACGATTATTTTAAAGACCAAGAAGTTTCTCCAGATGATTTTTGATATTTCCAAGTGAAAATAGCCATTTTGGCCTTTCTGATTACAGAAGACAACTTAAGCTCTTCGCGAAGAAAATCAGAGAATTAAAAAAAAATACATGTCAAAGTCTAGTTCTCAGCAAGCATGTATTCCTGTTCTGGAACCACATTACCTGCATCCACACTTGCCTTCCTTTTATTAGTCATAGCTGTCTAACTACACAAAGGAGATAAATAAACATATAATTTTGGGTTTGATAAATATATGGGTTTGATAAATAAGTATATAATCACTTCAAACTTAGGAAAAGAATATAGGTAATAGAAGAGTCACACTGAGTGGTCCCAGCTGACACTGTGTGGGGTAAGCAAGTTACTCCGTCTAGTCGGCTCTGATTTTCTGACCGATATAATGGGGAGACACAGAAAAATGTTATTGTTTTAAGCACTGAATTTTGGGATTGTTTGTTATGCAGCAGTGGATAACTGAGGAACTTATTTGGCCCCTTCTATGATCAAGAAC